ACATCTTGGTTTTTTGTTCATTTTGTTTTGTTTTCTAATTAGAACATGGAATCTTTGTTTCTTTTAATCACCTTTTTAAATGAATTGTCAAAAAAAAAAAAAGAAAAAGAAAATTTCAACCCCGCGGGAGCACTACACTTATTCAGGCTTACCTCATGCTGCTTTACCTGCAGGACACACCTCCTGGTGGTGGTGTAGTGGTGTGGAGATAGTAACACATCAAATTTTGATACCCAGAATTTGATTGTTTAAGAGTGACCATGTAGTCCTCTTTTCATCTTCAGAACTGTAGAAATGTCACTGTTTCAGGCTTTGATTCGATGAAAATGACCACTGAATGCAAGACTATTGAAGTATTCTCGGAAGTTCTGATTTGAATGTGAACACTTTATTATGCACACACATACATAAAACTGGTATATGTTGCTACCAGATACATGCTGGCATGTTGCTACCAGATACAAGACTATTTTTTATTTAAGCTAATCTTATTAAGGCTTTCTTTTAGTCCTCCACTCTTCATCTCCAGTGGTTTTTCAGTGGAGAAAAATAAAATCCTTAATAAAAGAGAAGCAATTTTAGGAGTGGTCCAAAGCTTTCAGATGGGGGATTTCCCTGAAAGAAAGTTTAACTCTTGTTTTATTTTCTGAAAATTCTTTGGAATTTATCATGTATTTCAAAAGAACCAACTTACATGTATTCAGAAGGGCATAGCAATTTGATAAATGTATTCTGGAAAAACATAAATTAGACCTTTTATGACAACTCTTCAGAATCTGCACTTCATAAAAAAAAAAATGGTGGAGTTTTCATATCTTTCCTGAAGATATAACCTAGAAAATGTTAGTGTGAGTCCTGCTGGAAAGAGGATTAGATTAATAAAGGGTAATAATCATGGCTCCGTCTCAGGATGTTGAAGGTTGTTAGACTATCCATGAATAACAAAGTGGCTAAGGAAATAGAGCAATTAGAAATTATGATGTGCATAACCTTGATAAAGAAATCTGAAGGCACTGGAAGCTAGTAGATTTAATGGAGACTAGAAGACTACTTTTTTCAGAAGGCTGTTAGAAGGCAGAGGGAAAAAAAAGAAAACGTAGCAATGATAGCATCATGTCTAGATGGAGATGATAACATTATTAGTAGAGATATAGAAAAGAGATACGTCCATTCTCTATTTGGAAAGAAGCAGAATTATGTGTATTTATTGCATTAACATCATTCAGTTTTAACAGCAGCTGAGAAAGGTGCTGTCTCACATCTTCCCTGGAAACAGGCTTCCCTGCTTGAGTTTGTTAAACTGGGAAAGTTAAAAAGAGCAAAAAGCAAAGTGTATAAATATGAGAAAAGATTGTACAATGAAAAATATTTACTATTAAGTTTATCAGAAAGAAGTTTAGCTTTGTGAGAATATAGTGGGATCTGTATAAGGAAAAATACCAAGAGACTGACAAGAACAATTAGTTAGAGATCAAAGTGCATAGGACCAAATAAAGGGCAGATCTTTGACTTGATAATTAATAACTGGAATATTCTGTCAAGGAATTAGGTGTCTTTTTCTACCTCTTGATTTCTTTAGTAGAAAATTACATGCTTTTGGCAGGTTGTGCTTTAAGCAGAAAGTTGTAATGACCTGTGTTCTACAGGTCTAGTTGTCTCACTTTTAATAGAAAAACAATATTATATAAAGAATTAAAAGTCTTAATTTTAAGAAGATGATATTTTAACTGTGGATGGATCTGCCTGTGTCCTAAAATGTCCGCTTAGAAGTTTCATTGCTTAAAATGAGTCCAAATTTTCTGAATAATTGCAGAATCTGTACCTATATAGAATTTAGTCCAAGTAATGTGTTCAGTAATAAAGTGTTTGGAAGAAAATTTATTTCCCTCCTGTCTCTACCCCAGTACCACCAATTTGGCCAAACAGGATACATAGTTCCCCACTACCTTTCTTTAGACACAGAAATTGAGGTACAATAGTTCAGTTACATCCCTGCGGCCCACCGACACCACTGGAGCTGGGCACATAAGCTCACATTTAGTGCCCAGCCTGCACAGAGCTCCTCAGGCAACAGGTGCCATGTCCATATAGTGCACTGGAAAAAATGTAAAAATACCCATGTCTTTACAGTCGTGCAGTGCCCCACTGGACGTGTGTTATCAGGAAGAGTTTGGGTTTGGAAGCAGCATGGCCATGTCGCCAGCCTCAGCACCTGGGCTACCAGCAAGGCCTAGGTGGTTCCCTCTGCAGCTGCTTCTGATGTCAGAAGCATCAGAAGCGTTTTTTTTATTATTATTATTATTTTCACTAAATAGGAAACTTTAGCTGTAAACATGAAAATCAACAGTGGTTTATTCTGGGAAGGTTCTGTTGTCACATTATGCAGAAACTGACTGTAAGAGAAAGCTAATTTAAAAGTCTTCATTGGTTATTGAATATAAAATAGTTTTTTGATGAATTTCTTCAAATTCACCAGATAAGTACATAGTTAAATACTTAGCTGTGAGCTGTGATGGACATTTTCTTAATAACTGAGTGCACTTGAATTTTAAAAATCTTTATCTTTACAGTGCCAGTTACAGCTGAGCTTTCGGCTCTAACTACATGCTAATAAAATATTTCTACATAGAAACCTAAAAATGATGACATAATGCATCCTTAGATGCCACAGGATACAGAAGTACCTTACAAGAACAAAAACTGGCAGGAAAAAAAAAAAAAAAGAAAAAAAAAAAAACATTGATTGGGAATCAGTGACAGGAATTGGTTTGGAAAGAAGGAAGTAGAACATGCCAAAATATACTTATCTTCAGGACTTTCTCAAATCCAAAGATGATGGAAAAGGGAAAAGAAAAGAAGGTATCCAAAGTAGTAGAAATATCAATCTTGATGTTTTGAGGATAAACGCAGGCCTGAACTGTTGGAATTTCCTGATGGTAAAGCATTGTGAGGCACTGTCAACACAGAGGAAGAGTTTATGACTTAGAGGTCAAGAGCAGTAAGAATGGAATGAAATGTAGTAGTATTAAGTTAAAGGCCATGTTACAGGACTAATTGCAAGACTGTATGTAGGAGAAATTCCTACATACTGTAGGTATTCCATTCCTATAGAACACAGGAACATTCCTACTGCAGGAGAAATTCCTTGATATATTAGTGACAGAGGAATAAACCATGTGATGAAACATAGTGAGGATTCTCATAATCTGTATCTGGGGGAAAATAAATTCAGATTGCAAATAGGCAGTCCAAGACTATAAAAATTATCAGAGAAATGATGAATCTAAATCACAAGAGAGGTCTAAAAGAACTTAATTTGTTTAGCCTTCCACAGGAAAAACTGAAAAGAGGTGGGGCTGTTATTTACTGATGTACTAGGGTAAACAAGAACCATTGAAATCAATGGCAGTTTTAGGAAAACCAACGTAAAGAAAATGCAGAAAATGTAGAAAAGAAAAGAAAATGTGGAAGGGTACAGGAGAGGTGTGGGAAAGTGTGGGAGAATGCCTCAAACAGAATTTTAAGATGGATTGTGGTATGACTGGACTCAGCAGTCTAGTCATCCATCAGCTGAGGCATCCATCCAGCTGAGTGCCCTTCACATCTCTTATGCTAGATACCAGGTGGAGTATTTAGAATTAAAAATATGCCCATTTTCATTTGAAGGGAAGAACATGATGCAAGCAAGAAAGAACAGGAGATTAGTGATCACTTTGTTCCATATGTCCTCATTAACATTCCAGAAGAGGGTACCCTCTGGAGCAAAGAGCAAGCAGGGAGAAATTGTATTTGAGAGAGATTTTTGTTTACATGAAACAATTTCAAAACTTTAGTAACTAGTATAATTAGGCAAGTTGTATAGAAGACAGATGTTCCATTTTGTGAAATTCAAAAGGATGTAGAGTGCAAGTAGAAATGAAATGCAGAATACACGATTTATATGTTATTCTTTGTATATAGTCTGTTTATTTATAAATGTGATCAATTTTAGAATAGAATGGAAAGAATGATATAAACTTCATGAAAATCTCCATTTCTCGTGTAATAATTTCTCATTAGTATAGCTGAAGCCATGCAAATCATTTAAAATACCGCAAAAGTAATATTTTGGAAATTATTTTGGGGTGATCTGATATTATGTGAATCACAGACTTTACAGAAAAAAGATTACCTGGAAGACTCCTCCTCTTAAGCTGATGTTTGTTAATGCCTATTGCATGTTTAAAATTTTCCCAGAAACAGGAGTTGATCGTGCTATGTCATATTTTGTTATCGGTTACAACAACCACTCAGTTTACAAGTTGAAAACTAAGTTATGCCTAAAAATTGAGGGTTTTGAGAGTTTGCTATTAATAAATATGACATTTCACATAATTTAAATTTTTACATTTAACAATGTTTAGCTGAATTGATTAGGAGTTTTAGGAAGAGTGGCACATAGTGTTCAGAAAATAACTTTTGTTAAATAAGGGTATTTGAGGCTTCTTCATTGAAGTGTGAATTCCCAATCATTAATAATTCTGTAAAGCAGATATTTAAATAATTATTATATATCAGAAAACTCTAGTCTTTTGTAAATGTAGCTTTTGGCTAACAGTGTTATGTAAGTTGGATTAAATATTAATATACCATTTTATATACTGTCATATATATTAATTTCTTCATGTCCTCAAGCAAGTTGACCATCCTGCAGCATCTGGCAGTGTTACATTTGAAAAAAAAAATAAAGCAGTGGGGCACTGTCCAGCATCTTTGTGTAGATGATAATCCATTTGGAAGGTAATCCATTATTTGGTAGTTGTTTGTACGCAGTGGGCCACCAGTTGCTTTATAATTCTGAATATCAGCCGGAAACAGCTTATTTTGTTTGTAGAAAAGATTTGCACTTCCAGAAAATCTCTCATGCCCAGCTTCCCAGTCCTTTCCTTTGTCATAAGAAACTAACCCTGATTTTTTTTCTCTTTTTTTTTGGTGTTTTTTTTTTCTCTCTCTCTCCACAGGAGTCATCAGGACTGCCTTGCACAACATGGACAGGGAAGCCAGAGAGCACTATTCCGTTGTCATTCAAGCCAAAGATATGGCTGGGCAGGTCGGAGGGCTGTCGGGATCGACGACGGTGAATATCACGCTCACTGATGTCAACGACAACCCACCCAGGTTTCCTCAGAGTATGTGCAATTTCACCTTATCATTGATTTGAAATCATGTTGATTTTCACTGAAGTAAGCAGTTATTAGTGAAGTCTGATTAGTGTTCAGATTCCCCGGGGAAGAATTTGTGTTCACCAGTAGTTTTTTGATTAGCCGGTGTTTTCAGAGGAGCTCAGAATGCAGATATAGCAGAGGTGCAGTATTTAATCCATTTAATTAAAAACTGAGGAACAATGCATGACAAAGGAATACTTCTGCCACATGTGGGTAATTCTGCATTCCTTTTGGAGTTTCAAAAACTGCATGACAATGTGATTTTGATCCAGTAAGTGAATTGTATTGTTCCCTTAGTACAAAACAACAAAATGTAACTCATTAGAAAACAGAATCTATCATTCATTTGGCTGCTTCCAAACACACCTGTCAAAATCACTTTCTGATTCTCTTACAAAATTTAAACTTAGAGTCCTTTTTCTCTTAGTGGCAGCCAGAACATTTGCTGTTGCTCACTCTTGCAGACCTATAGTGAAGTCCAGCTTTATCCTAATTAAATGAATTATAGATGCTGATGTCAAACTCAGTGTTCTCACATGTGTGTATGAAAAGTGTATGCTAGAATACTCTTATTAGAATATCCTAATATGAGCACTAATAGGAATATTTCATTTGTACCCAGCTCATTGTGTGCACATTGATCTGACATGAGCTGGAGTCTTCCAGGAATTCTGAATTCTGTTAACAATTTATTTAAAACTCTTTGCAGAATGAAATTGCATAGCTCAACCTTCATTCCTTTTCAGAATGGCTCAAGGCCAATAAGGATATTGCAGTCTGAACTCTGACATTGTTGGAGCCCTTGTAAAACATAATGGACTAGCAGCTATAGGTACATCCACAGGGAAATACATAAAGCTATAAGAATTAGAAGATTTAGAAACAATAGGAGAGATCACAAAGCTCCAGGGAAAAACAAAGCTCTCTGGCAATAGACATTATGTAAAATCTGGCCAAGCAGTAAGAAGGCTCATTAAAATGTTGTAGAAATAGATATTTTTTCCTGTGCCTAATAAACACAAAAAAATACAAAGCCTTTGGAACATTGACCTAAATAGAGGATATTTGATTTTATATTCCTCAGCATGGTTATTGCATCCATCACAAGATCTAATACTTGCTAACTATTGGAAAGGCAAGAGATAGGGTGTATATGTAAACAAATATGACATGTAGTTATACTAGGAAAAATATCCTAATTTTCTTGCAAATTCAGGAACAAAATAAAGTAAAGCTAGATCCATATATAGCTTACTCCCATCTATTTTGAGTGGAAGTGTTTGGATATTAAGCTGACTTGCAAGCAGAAGTGTGTATTGGCACATATATTCCTTTATCCCTATTAGTATTTATTCAAAAATAGAAAAAAACCCACAGTTTTCAGGTTATTTATTTATGTACATTTTAAGGAAGTCTAATCATTGTGAATATAATGTTGGAACAATACAAATTCATTTCACTTTTAATGAAAACTCACTGCAAACAAAGCAAAGCAAAAGTTAAAAAAAAAAGATAGTATTTGGAAATTATATATTTTTTTTTCTCTTCCAGAAAGCGATATTTCAGAAAATATTATACCTAGAACAGGTATGGTAGGATACAAACACTCTATTTAATATCGGAATCACACCAGCACAACAGGAATTACGTAGCCACCACTATGGCTATGACATTACTTCTTTACTCCTTTTCAACAGGCATAACATTTTGCAAGCAACCATATCATTATCTATAGTCTGGCAATCTCAGCATCATAAACTATTAAAATAGCATATGAACATTACCCTAATAAAACTAATTTCAGGGTTTATTTTTCCTCTCCTTTTTTGGTATGTCATTGTTTTGGATTAAATTTCTCCTCTATTTCCTCGTTAGGTGGGATGCTAAATGAGACTTGGTAGGATTTGTCACATTTGGAAATGAATTTAAGGGATTTGCTAGCCAAGCTGCGTATATGCAATGTAGGGCCCTCGGGAGACACTGAGCCTCAGCTACGCCTCAGGCTCTCTTTTGGTTAGATTTCTTTTATGCATGGCCATACTTGTGAATTATGAATCTGAATGCAGCCGTAGGTGTACTTCATATCAGAAAATGTTGGGAAGCACATCTGGTTAGCGCTTTTATTATTTCTTTTATTCGAAGGTACTACTTGCTGTATACACATGAAAGATTGAATCTTTTTAGTCTTTGTGATCGATGGTCATTAAAGACAATTATGGACTAAGATTTGTAGGATTTATTTCCTTTCTTTATTCCACAAGCTTTCTTTCCTTTGTGTCCAGATACAAGTGATATATGTATATATAGGCTGTCAGACAGTACTTTGCATAGAAAGATCTTTGCTTTGCAATAATCCCTTCTCCCTGTTCTTGTTAGTCCCTGTTCTTGTTAGTTTTATCACTTGTAGATCTGCTTGACTATTGATAATGGGCCTTACATTTCTTGCAGTAGTATGATAGAAAATGAGTTACTGAGTTACATAAGAATTGTCTATTTGCTGTTCTTTTATTAATTATTTTAAGTCATGCTTAGGATGAATAGATTCTGCATGTTTTTCTTTGTTTGGGATGAATCAATTCTGATTGCATCCAGATCATCACAGTGTACAGATGTTTTCACTGAAATGTTTTGTACTTCGAGTGCTAATGATTACAGTAGGTAGGAGATCTTCAGTTACTACTGTGATTAGAGCTTAATTCTTAATGGAATGATTTCTCTTATAGCCTGGTCTCAGATTTTATTGTTTGAAATACCTACCTGAGTTCTTTACCATAAAGCAGAATTTAAATACAACCTATGCCTTAAAACATTTTTTTTTTTTTAATCTAGATTCTGGTGACTCATTTGTTTTATGGCATTGTGTAGAGATATGGTGATGTTTATGTATGTATGTATGTATGTATGTATGTTCATGGTTTACTTGGCCTCCCTTTTTTTGCATTCTTGTGAGAAATGTGGAGCCATGTTTAAAAGATAGTGTTATACTCGAGTTAGTTCTGTAAAGGCAACATTACATCCCAGTAGACATGTTAATTCTGCTTTGTGCTCATGAGATTTCTACACTGTTTCTACTACCCAGCCTTCTTAAAATATCTCATTAGCTAATTTAGCATATCTGCTATTGGCACGCTTTTAGGACATAGATCTTACAAAGTGGACAGGAAGGTTCTGTAGAGGTTGCCTCTCTCCACACACACAGTGAACGACCCAGGCATGGCATTTGGTGCAAGTGGCATTGCCAGTAAGAATACAGAGGAGTGTACATGCCGTAACATGCAGCAAATAAAACGCTATGTCCTTCTTCTGGGCCACTCCAGCAGCTCCTTCCTCTAGAAATTACACCACATGTGATCCCTACTCTTAACCATCATCATCCTCCCCACTCCCTGCTCGTCCAGAGCCATCTGCTTCTGATTAACCTCTTGGCTGCTGCCAGATAAAATGAGCAACAGCTCCATTTTCTCTGATTTTTCTTTTAGAGGAACATAGAGGAAGTTGATTTCAAGCCTGACTTCCAAAGAAACCTGATATTTCTGTTCTTCAGCAGATCTATTCCTTCATGTCCTAAATACAGTATTTTCTGTCTTCAAAATCAAGGTTACCCAGCCTAGAAATGTTATTTTGTTATTTTTATCGTTTCTGTTACAGCTGATTTTTTGTACTGCCATACACAGTGCCTGCTCCTGTTGCTCACAATCTAGGATATTTTTTTTTAGAATTTTAGTTTGCATGTTGCTTGCAAGAATGTTTCAAATTTTTGACATTACCAAAAATTTCCTTCATATGTGCATTCCAAAATCTTCAAAGACATACAGATGGAAATTATTGTTTTTGATTTTTTTTTTTTGATGAGATGGTCCTTTTTCTTGATTAGTGGTTGTACAAAGCCATCTCTTTGTAACAGCAGTCGATTTAAATGGTAAATGAGTAGATGAGACAGTAGATTTCAGTCTGCTGAAAAAAAATTACTAATATCTCATTAAAAGATGAAATAAGTAACCTACATGCTCATACCAGAGCATATTAGATGTTCGTGGTTGAAAGGGAAATACAACAGCCTCCATTCTTTTATATCTGAAGCAGATATTACTTAAAAATCACATGTAGCAATTTTTTTTTGTTCTGTTATGAAAACTGAGCCTATGTAATAAGAATGAACGGATAGAGTCTCATGAGTAAATTTGAGCTTTTTTTGATAGAATTTTCTATTTGCTGTATTGTTAAAATATCTGTAGTTAAAACAGTATTTTCTGGAAAACTGTACGTTCTTGCCCAATATATTAATCTTAGCTAACTTTGGATATTAAGATTAATCTAGAGCATTGCAGTGTACTTTTATGAGATCTTAAATAAGGTGATCTTTAGCATAAAATAAAAATATAGAACTAATTACTTGTAATTTTGAAACTGTAGCTGATCATGTTAAACCCGTGTAAATAGGATTTCAGTATAGACTTTTAAAATTATAAAAGTATCTACATAAATCAGATTTTTAGTTAAATACTTAGGGAAAGAAGGGTAGACTTTTTGTTGTGTATATTGGGTTTAAGATTACTATAAGCAAATGAGAGTGCAGATCATGAGAATCATTAGAGCTTTTGTAAAAAAAAATAGGATCTGTGTTCTCTGGTATTAAAATTGGAATAAAGTATGTATTTACATTATAGTCACACTGAAAAAGTCACGCTAATGAGTGTTTTGCCGCTCCTGTGTTCTGAATGCTAAAGAATTATTTCAGTTAATCATATTTATAAAATATATACTGAAGTTTCAAAGTGAATGAGCAAAGAGTAACATTTTCTTTGTGAATGTGGTTAATGTTCAGTGAAATAATTTTCTGACTTTCAGGGAATCATCATAAGAAAATCTCCAGGCCCCCTCACCTTATTTTTTATTTATTTAAAAATGACTAATGTTTTATATCAGAGATTGAATATACAATAGGTAAATATGAACTAGCAAGC